GCTATCAGGATATATATACCTGCATTAAACAAGTAAATGTATCATTATTTCAACATTTACAATTATTTAACTTGAAAATATATATTTTCTTATTAATATGGTTTACAGGGGTAAGTAATAATTGAAACCTTAATATCTCGGAAATAATAAATTATTTTTTTGTGATTATCTAGTTTTTGACTAATATATATTTGTTACAGATTTTGTCAATTGTCCATTAGTTCCCAATCATCGTCTCTTACGACATCGGTTGGCAAAACATTTGAAAAAATGTAGACGCAGCCTGTATCAGCAACAATTAGTTGCCCGTAATCGTTTCTTTCGACGTTGGTTGGTAGAACATTTAATAAAATGTAGATGCAGCCTGTATCAGCAACAAAATTTAATTCTGAGGAACTGGGAGAGCATCAATGATGGACAACAGAGCACTGTTAACAATGGGCCATGGGTTGCTCAACAGGAGGGAAAGGGATCATATTGGAATAACGCTCCAAATGATAATCTCAGGAATTTAATTCAGAGAAACCGGGAGCGTATCAGTGATGAACAACAGAGAACTGTTAACAATGGGCCATCGAATGCTCAACAGGAGGAAGAGAAATCAAATTGGAATAACGTTCCAAACGAAGATGTCAGCAATTAGCTACCACATTTGCAAATGTGGTTAAATCTGTCACAAAATAATGTTAGAATTATATTGTATTGTTTCAATAAATAATATTTTAAAAGCTCACTGTGTTTAATTTGTATATAACAAAAAGTAATGAAATTCCCATATTAAAACAAATGTTATGTGATTTAAAAAAACACTATAACATTAGACGCACTAGCAACAACAGTTACTTGGAATTATTTTTATCGAAGTAAGAACTAGGAACATGTTTCGATCCATCTGCATCCTTAAAATAATCCTTAGTTTCACATGGGAAACATTTTCTGTTTGGTAGGTCGCAATCTCCTCCGCATTTGATGCACTTATACTTTACTGGAACAGGCATATTGCAATCAATAAATAAAACTGTTCAGCACTGTTAGGTATCCTCAAAATAATACACAAATATGAATATAAATCTTTATTTTATTAGTTTAGTTATTAGTTAGAAATATGTTAACAAAACCTTTCATAATAAATACGCGATCGATGGTTATTATCTAAAATACTACTTATAGTAAATGAAACATCGTTAATTCTTTTCTGAAAGTGAACTCTATCACTGATCAATTCCTTGCAATTTGGTTTTCTTGCTTTTTAAAACCAGCCATCAGGGTCCATAAGTATATAAGTTTTATTATTATCCAAGTTAAACACAACCTGCTATTGACCACTCATTGTATCAGAAGAAATGCTAAAAAATCATCAACAACCCTACCACTAATAATAGATCCATACATAAATAATATTTCTAGTTCTGCACGAACGGTCATCAATCTCTACCGCGCAGACGTCAGCCGATGTGACGTAGCCGGCTGAAAGCTATGCCGATCCTGCTCCAGTCGCCATCATGAATTGTGGAGCAGAATCGGCACAGCTATTCTACTATTAAGAGCTATATTTTCATGTCCTACATTAACATTAAGGTGAATTCAACTATTTAATTGCAAAAAAGAAGATAGCGGCGATGCGTTCTATTACTCGGTCTAGCGAATGCGTGGGGAGAACGAGGCGGAGCATGTGCGCTACGCGCCTGGTTGCGCGCAGGAAAATGATCGAGCTGCTTCAAATCGATGGAGCTGGAAAAATTAGGCATATCTCGGTTAATAATGAACCTTATCGAGATTATTCTTTTTTTAATTTGTGGTAGCGTGAAAATTCATGAGTATTGAAGCTACTGTATTAATATTATTTCAACCCGAGATTTAATTTTTTATTTAGCCTCGCTCTTCCCATTCGTTTTCTCTATGAATAACAGTTTTATTACGCCAGTCAAAAAACCACTTTTCCATAACTTTGACCATTGTTTTAACAAAGTTTCCCAACTAGTCTCGAGTTGATTTTTTGATATTTTGTTTATAACACGCTTCTGAACAATATTCCGCAAAAAAACTTCTAATAGTATTTTTTTCCCGAAAAAAAGGTATAATGACTGGCCTATTGGACTCAAAACTATTTACTGCCAGGGCAGTATTAATTTTGTAATTAAATCACGTTTAGCCAAGTGGCTACATTCTGTCTTTAATAATAATGATAATGATGATAATAATGATGATGATGATGATGATGATGATAATGATGATGATGATAATGATAATAATGATGATGATGATAATGATAATGATAATGATGATGATGATGATGATGATGATGATGATGATGATGATGATGATGATGATGATGATGATGATGATGATGATGATGGTAGTGGTGATGGTGGTGATGCGGGTGATGGTGGTGATGCTGGTGATGGTGGTGATGGTGGTGCTGGTGGTGATGGTGGTGATGGTGGTGATGATGGTGCTGGTGATGGTGATCATGGTGGTGCTGGTGATGATCATGCTGATGGTGATGATGGTGATGGTGATGATGGTGATGATGATGATGGTGATGGTGATGATAGTGCCGATGGTGATGATGGTGCTGATGGTGATGATGGTGATGATGGTGCTGATGGTGATGGTGCTGGTGGTGATGATGGTGATGATGATGATGGTGATGGTGATGATAGTGCCGATGGTGATGATGGTGCTGATGGTGATGATGGTGATGATGGTGCTGATGGTGATGGTGCTGGTGGTGATGGTGCTGGTGGTGATGGTGGCGGTGATGATGGTGATGATGATGGTGATGATGATGGTGGTGGTGATGATGGTGGTGGTGATGATGGTGGTGATGATGATGATGGTGATGATGATGATGATGATGATGATGATGGTGATGATGATGATGGTGATGATGATGATGGTGATGATGATGATGATGGTGATGATGATGATGGTGATGATGATGATGATGATGATGATGATGATGATGATGGTGGTGATGATGATGATGATGGTGATGATGATGAGATGATGATGATGGTGGTGATGATGATGATGATGATGATGATGGCGATGGCGATCACGAGGACAAGGACGACGACGACGAGGACGACGACGACGACGACGAGGACGACGACGAGGACGACGACGAGGACGACGACGACGACGACGATGACGAAGAGGACGACGAGGACGATGACGATTACGATGACGATTACGATGACGATTACGATTACGATAATGATAATGATAATTAATAACGATAACAACGATAACAACGATAACAATGATAACAATAATAACGATAACAAGAATCCCACTAAACACGAAACGTAATTGAAACGTTGCAAATGAGTTGTTTTACTGAACATTTGACACATTAACTATAAACGTTTCTGTTTCATTACAGAAATGTACCACTTGAAAACTTACTTAATGAAACATAGCCGAAACGTTAAAATTGAAGAGAGTTTGAAACATTACTCGAAACATTCCCTTTCGATCTCGGAAACATAACAGACGAACAACCCTTTGCTTTTTTTGCTTATCTTATGGAACATTCGGCATTAGTTAAATTTTGCTCTCAATCCCCAATCCCTCTTAAGCGTTAGTTCATTTGCCTTTGTTATACAGACATAAATAAAAAAAAAAAATTGTGGCAACATATTTATAACACAAGAAAAAATGTATGTTCGTGACTTGCGTAGATTGCGCGTAACAGCTCGAGTTTATTTGTTTCCCGTGTGTCGTTTTCAATCGTATTATGTTAGGTTTGCGGTTTGCCAGTTTGCATGGCTTCGTTGTTCTCCATCTTTACTTTGACGCTATTTGATGTGATAATTTGTAGTGTGTGCATTTGTGGTTATTGTAAGGTGCATATAAAATAATGAATATTGATGCAAAATGTTTAAAACGATATGTGTAGAGATTTCCAATTTTGCGTCACATCTACCTAAACATAGTTATATCCACTACCTATTATAGACAAGAGGACAAGGGACAAGAACTAAGAAAATGGAACTGAGTCACTGAGAACTATTTGAAATATGGATGAATCAAGTGAAATAGACGTCATTTATTTTATATTTTGTACAAATGTTTATATTTGTTTATGTATTTTGTCAAGATATCATTTTGTATCTTTATTTCTGCAGTATAATTTATTATTATTAAAAGGATAGATGTAATAGTGACCATGGGTAGAAGAAATTGTAACTTTATATTATATTTCAGTAATGTTATTTGTTTTTCATGTACCTACCATTTCAAGATTTATAATCATAACTAACTTTTTCTAATTATCAGTTCGTCATTGTTACCATATTCACGATGTTCCCAACATTAGAAAATTTCCATTTCAGAAGCGTATTTGAACAATATAAAATAATGTGTAAACGCTTCTGATATTGTTTTGTGACATTTTTATTTGTACGAAGAATGGCAAAATTCGTAATCCATATTAGAAACTTTTTTCAGTGGCTTCTCAAAAAGAAAGAAATTCTTGGTAAAAGTTGCCGCATCCCCAAACTAGAAGAGCATATTTATTTTTTTTAATATACAATGTAATAACTTTTTTTAGTTAAATTTTTTGAGAAATCAGTAAAAGTTGTCTGTAGTTCGTATTAAGTCATTCACAATACAAATAAAAATATCACAAAAGAGTATTAGAAATATTTAAAAAATTACTCACACTATACTATTTCAAAAACGCTTTTGAAATGAAAATTATCTAAAGTTGAGAGCATTATGAGAATATGGTAATAAAATTATTATGTTACTCAAACATTTCTGAAAATATACTGAAACGTAAAACAAAAATATCGAGTGCATAAATGGAACATAAAAATAATGTTACTGAAACCAATTTTTTTAAACGTTTCATTGGAAACGTATTTGGGGAGTACATCTTGGGTTTCTAGAACGTTACCAGAACGTTGCATGGATTTTTTATTAAACGTTTCGAGAAAAATTGGAAACGTTTCTGAAACATGTCAAAAACTTAGCTTTTTTTATTACAGGTACACCACTGAAAAACTTGATAATTATGTTTTCTCCGTTCTGTTTACGTCTTTCGGTTTCTTCCTTGATGAATTTGAAATATTGCCTTTGACTTACGGTCTGATCCAACAAAATACGGACGTTACTAAATTGATGTCTAATTCTGTTTCTCTTTTTAAATATCGCCACAGCGTCTTCTTTACTTTTCAAATAAACTTTAATGGGTCTAATTTTACCATCACTGACTTTCCCTAATCTTTCCGATCTCAAACCGTTGGTAACCAAATCTTGACTTAGTGCACTGAGCAACTCTTCCACTTTACAATCATCTGAGACATCTTCGTGTTCTTCACAGTTATAAATAATTATATTAAGAAGAACGTTTATCGCGTTCATGGATTTCATTAAATAACAGGCTCCTTGGTGGTCATAACTTTATTTTCCTTGAGAAGATTGATTTCAGAGGTTAGGGTAGCTACAGCTTCCTGTAGCTCCTTTATTAATGTTATTAAGGTAGGCAACTTTTTGCATTCGTTACAGGAAAATTTTTTTAACAAGTTAATTTCAGTCCTCGATAAATTGATACAATCAGTATATTTGTTTATAATCGTTACATTTTATTTGCTTAGTGACGTGCACTTCTTTTCTGCATGAAAAACAATTTACCGACATTGATAAAGACGCTGAATTTCTTGCTTCTTAAAAAAAGTGAAATAGTTTGCGGATAATATGATCCTTGTAGCAAATTTAAATAAGGAGAAACTGATTTTATGCCACTTAACGGGTAAGTAAACAAAATATTACTTACAGGTGCATTCCGCAACTATTACACTTCGAGTTAATGTGCATATAACGTTTGTTATATGTTTGTTATATGTTTGTTATATGTTTGTTATATGTTCGTTATATAAAAAGATGCAGTAATGTAAAAATTAAGTGAAAATAAAGAAAAAAACATTTAAATGTAAAAAAACTGTTAAATTAAGTGAAGTTTTCTAATCAGAACATCATCCAGTATGAAAATTCAGATAAAAAAATGTCTACAACCAACTTCTACCTTCTACCAGGTCAGCACCACCGACTTCATCTTCATCCGACCCGAACATCGTCACAGAGTTTACAAGTAAGTCTAGTACAGTGAATAAAGTGAAGTGAACAGTGCAATTATATTCTAGTTTTAGCTATAAGACTTCATAATTTTGATAATTTATAACTTCCTACCAATCTCTTCTGTCGAAAATATAATTTAAAATTAAATCCAGCCAAGTGTAATTTTTTACAACGAGAAGTGAATTATTTATTTAGGTAATTTAATTTCTAACAAAGGGATTAGTTCAGGTCCAAAAAAATACGAAATCGTAAAAAATTATCCAATTCCAAAAAATGCGGATGATATTAGACGATTTATTGCATTTTTAAATTATTATCGTAGATTTATACCAAATTTTGCTGATATAGCATACCCTCTGAACAAATTATTAAGAAAAAATTAGACATTTAATTGGACGTCAGAATACGACAAAGCATTTAATATTTTAAAGAAAAAATTAATCGAACCACCCATATTGCAATATCATGATTTTTCAAAACCCTTCATTCTTACTACGGACGCTTCAAATTTTGCGTTGGGATGTGTTTTGTCTCAAGGTGAAATAGGAAAAGATCGCCCGATAGCTTACGCAAGCAGAAATCTGTCAAAACATGAAATAAATAAACCTGTAATTCTAAAAGAGTTATTAGCAATTTATTGGGGATTAACACATTTCCGCCCATATCTATACAATGCTAACCAAAAATGTATAGTCTTTACCGATCACAGACCGCTAGTTGGACTGTTCATTCATAAATCTCCGTCCTCAAAATAGACTAGAATGCGTTTAGACTTACTAGACTATAATTTCGAGATAAATACAAACCCGGAAAAACAAACACTAATGCAGATGCTTTATCACGCATAAAGTTAGATTCAGATGTACTAAAATCAATGATTCCTACAGTAGCCGTTGCTACACGATCAATGACAAAGAAATCGAATGACACTATCACAAAAAATCAACCGAACGTCTCGGACAACCAGTCTGGCCAACTGGGAATTTGGGAACTTAACGTCTCTAACTGAAATAAATAAAATAAAAACATTAATGTTCGAAATATGTGACAAGAAAAATAAAGATTATTCAGAGCGCTCACACTCACTCTCAATCTCAATCACACTCACAATCTCAATCTCAAACACAATTGATAAAAAGAAAATTTATAAATAAGTGCGATAAAGTTATGAGAATTATATTATCAAGTGATAATATTGAGCAAAATTTAGATTTTGCACTGGAGAAGCTGATAAAAAGAAAATACAAAGCTAGCTAGTTACTCAAATTTATGTTTATCAATGAAAGATAATATATTTAATTATATAAAGGTACCTATATTCAAAGAAAAATATAACGCACTATATAAAAAATATAAATCAACACTAAAAATCTTATTATTTACACCACCAGCGAGAATAAATGATACCGATCTTCAAAATGAACTAATAGAAAAATATCATAATCACTAATAGGAGCTCACACAGGTGTAAAACGAACTTTAAATAAATTAAAACAAAAATATGTGTGGAAAAGTATGTCAAAAATGGTAAAAAGGCACGTAAAAAATTGCGAAGAATGTAATAAAAGTAAAATAATCAAGCATACTGTTGAACCTCTCGTAATTACAGAAACTCTTGCAACAAGTTTCGAATCAATTTCAGTGGATACCGTCGGACCATTGAAAATAACTGAAAATAATATGAGATATATTCTAACTATTAGCCCAGTCATTATAGACATGAAAGAGCCTGTTTCGGGAAAAAAATACTATTAGAAGTTTATCTGCGGAATATTGTTCGGAAATCTGCTATAAATAAAATATCAAAAAATCAACTCGAGGCTAGTTGGGAAACTTTGTTAAAACAATGGTCAAAATTATGGAAAAGTGATTTTTTGACTCACGTAAAAAAACTATTATTCATAGCGAAAAAAAGTTTATACAAAAAAGGTAGTTATTAAATAAGCCTATAAAATGAGAAAATTCCGATAATTTGTGTAAAAATTTCAGCCCGAAAGCTTCATTGGTTTAGCGTTGGCGGAATTTGTTATCTAAGAAGATGCTATTTTCAATTCATTTTTCCCAAGCTCACAGGCGTTGTAGGATTTCGGTCATTAGTTGTTTTTGTACCTAAATAGTTGTATTGACATATGGATTTACTGAGAATTTAATTTTTCAAATTTAATTTGTTTAAAAATGACTGAAAAAATGTTAATATTTATTAAATTATTAAGATAGGTAATTATTATAAAATAAAATAGTAATCTCTTTACTTTAGTTTTCTTCGAAAAATCGTTGTAAGTTGACTAGAAGCTGAGATAATTTTTTTTTATTTAATCGTTAATTATTAATATTAACAGCCGAAATTTGGAGGGAGTATACATTAAGAGCTATATTTTCATGTCCTACATCAAGGTGAATTCAACTATTTAATTGCGAAAAAGAAGATAGCGGCGATGCTGTCAACGTGCTTTATGTTCTTTTACTCTAGTTGGTGCTGAGTTGTGACCTTAACATAAACGCCGATACAGTTTAGAGCGGGTCGTGGAGTTCGTAGGTGTTGGAGTCTATCTCATCCGAGATAGGTTCGAAGTAAAGAAAGTAATGCCCAAGCAATAACAAAAATTTGAAAAAATTGAGGAAAGTGAGAGATGTCAAACAAAAAAAAATTAAAGTAAAAAAAATTAAGTTTATGTCAGGCGCCAGTAAATTTTAAAGTGAATCTACAAACTTTAATTTCCTAACCGGATTCCTCTTAAATCTAGGTCAGGTATGTATAACTGTGGATCCTTTTGATCCTGAAGGTAAGTGGAAAAATAGTTTAGGAAAAAATATTTTCCTTGAAAAATAAAGGACTGAGTTCCCCTTTGAATTTTAAAATTTTTTATAAAAAAAATTTTCAAAAAATTAATATCAAAAAGTTTTCAAAAAAATCTAAGTGACCAAAAAAAAATTTATTCAGAAAATATGTTTCTGAGTTTATGTGCGAAAAGTAAAATATCAGTTAAAAAAATTTTATTTTGAAAAATTATCCAAAAATCTTTTTTCGAAAATTTATTTTCGACTTAAAAAAAATATTTTTTATTATTATTATTAAAACTTGGGAAGGTTTTTCTTCAAGAAAAACAAGTTTGAAAAAGGTATAAACTATATTACAATAACTGTACAAATAATATTTTTCTAGAAGAGAAAAATTGACAATGAGATTAACACTGTTAAAAACCTATTAATCTAACAAAATAAGTAATAGTGATTCACTGGAATAATCTCTGCAACGAAAATCCAGGAAACAACAAATTCAACTACCAGACCGTAGAAAAAAGAGTACTAGGTATATGAAAATGAACGTTACTAAACTTATTCAAACTAATTACAAAAAAATCGCGGAATTCTACTAACCACTTTTTATGTAATCCTCTGTATAATCCTTTCGGCTTTTCCGAAAAACTGCACTAACTTTCTATGTCGGTTTCAGTTCCGATCCAACTCTTTAATTACTGAAGGTAATTAGACAATTTAACGAGCACTTTGTATGTCGAAGACTAGTAAGACTCGGAGCAATCACACAAGGTTACTTTCGAAGATTTGTTTCACTTTATTCCCCGTAATTGCGGATGAAGACTAACTTTGTAACTTTGCTGGAAGAAATTGGTTGTAAACTAAGAATCAGACCAATTGAACTTCGGTGATGAACTGATTTAGAGCAATCACGCAATGTCACTTTCGTAGATTTATATCACTATATCCCGTACTTGAGAATGAAGATTAACTTGTAACTTGTTAAAAAGAACTTAGTTGAAAACTTAGTATTGAACTAAAGGACTTCGGCGATGAACTGATTTCAAAAACGAAAAACCAGCCCTTTTATTTAGAAATTTTCGGTCATTAAGGGTGATTCTCCCCTAACTATTGCGTATTTGCAATCATGACATCATGCTTTGCAATCTTTCATCAGATTTCATCATCTTTTTAGAACTTTCTAGAAAGTTTCCTCAAAAATAGCAAAAGTAAACTGAGGGTTTCGATACTCGATTCTGATTGGTCCCGGCCTTGGCGAGGAGCAGAATACTGACATCTGATTGGCTGAAGGCTTTAGTATAAATATTAAAGTGGTATAAAACGCAATTTTCGATTTTGTTTCGTTCATTTGCATAGTAGCCCTTCGGTCTACAACACCCCCTTCTTTTTTTACACTTTTTTCTACCCTGTCTGGTTCACACAACATCTTAAAATCTAAAACCTTAAAACTAAAAAATTCTTAAAACTAATATTTACAAAGTAGAGCAAACGGCGAACGGTAATCTTCACCGATGTTTCCAAAACTGTTAATACAATATACCTGACTATACGTTCCGGCGTTACTGATTAACTTGAATTTGACGTAATATATCGCTACACATATATATTACCTAATCCGTATCGATGATTACCATTCGCGAACGTCTCTTCTTCC